AAAATTTCAAATGGCACTTAGAGGCTTTTGCATCTGAACTCTTCATATACTGTATATACTGTGTGTATATATATATATATATATATATAATCAATATAAAATGCCCATTGAGTTATAAGACTTCATTTACTTCATTTTACTTTCTGAGGTCTAGATATCACACTTAAATATCCAGGTCAGGGATGGGCAACTTCGGTCCTGGAGCGCCACTGTCCTACAGAGTTTAGCTTTAACCCTAATCAAACAAACCTGAACAAGCTAATCAAGGTCTTCAGGATTACTAGAAAGTTACAGGTAGGTGATTTTTTTCAAAGTTGGAGCTAAACTCTGTCCCTCCCTGATCCAGGTATTTCAATACAGTGGGAATTAAAAAAAAGTTTTTTTTGAGATGGTGAATTAAATGGTGAATTTTTAGTTGTTTTGGCTGAATTTTAAATGCTCATTTAGTCCCATTTTAAATCATTGCAATTAATCTTTAAGCCAACTTAAAAGTTTGTCCCATTTTCTTTTATTTTTTTTAAATTGAGAACCACTGACACCAAAGCTAATAAAGCTAATGCAAAAGTGTGCAGCTCAAAACTGAATCCCTTCTGTTTTAAAACATTACAAATTTTGTTGTTGTAATATGATATTCTAATTATGCAGTTGCGGAAAGTTTAAATATGGCAAGGACCTACAAGCTGAGGGTTCTGAGAAAAGCTTTGAACTTTTACTAGCAGAAAAAAAAACTTGATTGAGTACAGGATATGATGAATTACATTGCTTTGTGAGAACCTGTGCAAAGTGCTATTTCTTTGTTTCTTTCTTTCCACTTAAAACATGTGAATTCCTCTTTAGAGGGAAGTATTTCATTATTCAAAAATGACTATGCAGGATGCAGCATCAGCTTATTTCTAAACCAACGGGAAAACAGAGGGAGATACAGTAATAGCTTAGTCACCCCGACAATCTTAATTTCGGTTTTATAAAGGAGCAACAGCACTTATTTGAGACACAATGAGCGCATTAGGTATTGATGAGCCTCTGCGGAGTTATAAATCTGAATGGATATTTAACACACTCCATCAGATACCCGAGAAATAACTCAACGGATTCTTTTGTTTCCATAAATTATGTCTGCACCAGAGAGCAACAGAGGACACATCTGATCCAAAATGGAAAGGAACACAGTGTTCTGACACAGAAAAAGAGGCACTTTCTGGAGATTAGTAATAGTATGAAACACAAACTGTGTTTAAAAAAAAGCCCAATTCACACTTAAAAAAAATGTGAATTATGTAAAAGTGGGAAAAGCAAGCCGTGATTCAGCTAATCATCATTCAAAAACCATCACTGGAGGAGGAGCAGCAACACATGCAACCTAAAGACCAATTCGTATGCATAGTTTTGTTAAAGAAGACATTGCTAGAAAAGTGACGAGCCATTTCCAGTTCCAACAGATCAAAACATTTTTAAAAAAACAGCCATGACTAATAGTAATTCCTTCATTAAAATGCTGGATCTCAGTAAAATCAGCCACTAATTTTACTCTGACCCGATTGGCTGGGCCAGCTGGCAATGAAAACATCAATAGAGCAAACCAAGAGCCAAAGTCATGTGACCATGTAGTCACAGCGAGCACTGGAACGAAGCCTGGCCACTTGTTTGTAACAAATGAGTGAAAGTGCGAGCACAGTTAGACTCAATTAATCAAACTGAAAGTATGCCAGACACTACAACTGCTCTGTGGTGGTTGGACTGAAGTGGAATGAAGTTCTCTTTGATTTAAAACCGATCCAAATGTTGTTATAACTTTCCCAGTTAAAAAGGTTGTTTAAAAAAAAAAAAAAACTAAACACTTCAAAGAATTACAGAATTTTTAGATTTAAGCATTCAATATAACATAACATTTCAATGGGAAAAAACATATTAGATCTGGATATAAAAACATGTCATGCAGAGACACTATCAAAACAATCAGGCAATGTGACTAAATACCTAAACATTCCACATGACATTCCTGACAACACAATTACAAGCTGCAAGGATTCAGCGTTACCTCAGTTATTACAACACAGTTGAAGTTTAGAAATAGAAATCTATCATGTAAAACTGCTAAATCTATCAATTGTGCATGAGCACAAAAGCAGTTCCACAGATTAATGTATAACACAGCACACCATCAGAGCCAGTTGGGAGTGTTGTGTAGCATGTACCATACAGTGACCCAAACACCCCAGGGCTGGACCGGTCTGACCTGTGTTGAGGTATGTTACTCTCTTTGTGTCACTCACACACACACACACACACACACACAGAGAATAGGAAAAAATAATCAGGATAATGTCATACAAGACAAGACAAGCATTCAGACAGAAAGAGGGGAGAGAGTTGTTTTCTTGTTTGAGCATATCTGATCACCTTATGCCCCACAATACTACTGAAAGTGGATAGTAAAGGGCAGGGACGTGACTATAAGTCATGGCTACTGGCCTAAAGCCTCAAATGCTTTTTAATAGCTTCAAATATTTTCTGCCTCAAAAAAACAATGATCAAAGGAAAGTTTACAGTGACACATGAAACTTGCCAACTCACAGTGCAGATAGCTATGTTGATTAGTGTTCTGGTTAACGTCACATTGATTGGCTTGTCATTCATTCTGCAATTTCTAAGCATCACTGGAGAGGGAACACTCACAATGGTAATTCTTTAAAGGGGTGATGAACTGAGAAATCAAATTTTCCTTGAGCTTTTGACATCTAAGAGGTCATGATATTATAAGAATATCCTGTAAGTTTCAGAACTGAAAACGTCCTTGTTAATCCAATAAAAGCTTTCATTGACACCAGGCTCAGTAAACGACTCGTTTTTCAAAGTGGGAAACTATAGAGCTGGTAAGTTCCGCCCATCCGTAAATCTTCAAGTGGACCTCTTGGGTGAAAAAGCGTCAATGCAAGTGAATGAGAGAAAATAATTATTTTCTGATCCCGTTTGAATTGTGCCGTGAATGTAACATATGTTGTCTGTGAATTTTTTATATAATTTCTCATGTAATGAGTTTGACAGTAAATTGTATGATTCTTTGGCTAGCAGTTGTGGAATAGACATAACGAGAAAGACTACACGTCGCATATGTGACGCAGCCGCATAACACATTTTCCCTCCACAAATCACGGTTTTCACCACGCTCAACTAGTTTGTCCTCTCCCTGAAAGAAGGCGGTGAAGTGCACCAAAGACACAGGCATGTTTAGCGGGATCCGTGTGCTAGCGGGGGTGATGTATATCAAACACGTCGAAAGAGTTGTAGCCCACAAGTGCTCTAACACAAAGTCTAACCGTATGAAAATTCTACCCGCTAAATTGTAGCATTCTTTACACGAAACATTATATAAAAAAATTCACAGACAACATACGTTCACATTCATTGCAAAATTCAAACGGGATTAGAAAATAATTATTTTCTTTCATTTACTTGCATTGACAATCTTTCAACCTAGAGGTCCAGCGGGGTAAGCTGAAGGGGCTGAAGCTGACTTACCAGCTCTATGACGTCAAAGAGGATAAAACACCACCCCCGCAGAAGAAGATCAACGCCTGCTTCAACATGGCCTGTTTAGAGTCAAGACTGGATTTGCAGACTGATTAAGAGTAAAGAACGGTGCTGTGCTGTCTATATTGGATCTGACAGGAATGGTGCAACACACGGACTCTGGATCGAACATGTATGGGCAATCATTCCGTTTGAGATTTTACAACATTGGACGTTTTCAAAACAATTTCCCCCACATGCATCGACGGGTGAGTTGAAACTCATTGTAATATGCAAAACTGTTCTCCACTCACAGCAGTAGGCATTTACTTCCAAGTCTTAAGTGCGAGACGCCCATAAAAACCGTGCGTTTTTCAGGTAGGCTAAAAACTTGGGTACAAAATAGCCTATTACTTATTCATTTTGATGTTTTTGAATGCAAAAACCAAGCGAACGTCATAAGTTGACCTCAGACAACAATATAATAAAATTTAAAAAGCTAGTTCATGACCCCTTTAACTACCCCTTCCAACTTAACACTACACACCTAGGGCTGTTCTACTGAAAAAGAGGAGATGCATGAAAAATGAAAACAATGCATTCTAGTCTGAAGCTAAAATTTCACAACATTTATTCTCACAGACTGGCTCTGATATTTGGCATCCGTTGACTCGTCCAAACTCGAAACTTCGACAAAAATCTGTATGTAGTGCGCTCCAAATTTTCTGAAGAGACTTGATAACTTTATATGATGAACACATTTAATTTAGGCTTATATTTGCACATTAACATTGATCAGTGAACAAACAGAAGCTCAACTGAACCTGCTTGATGCACGAGAACAAACCTCTTGCTGAAGCTTAAACGTGCTACGTAACACGACAATGCTTGAGCTTTGGTTTAACACAACCGATGTGTGTTGAAGAATGTTTATATGTGAATAAAAGCCTAAGAGCAATTGTTCTCAAGAGAAAATTTGGACCAAACCCCTCACTTCATATGGATTTTAGTATCTCTTTATGAACTTTTTGAAGCGTCAAAGTGCTAGTTACGTAGACAGTCAATTAAAGGGTAGAAATCTCCGATTTCTTTTGTTTCGAAGATGAACTAAAGTTGTACAGATCTGGAACAATATAAGGGTGATTAAATGATGACATAGTTTTCATTTTTGGGTGGACTAACCCAAGTGTGACACTAATATGTTCATTACTTTAATACAATGAGAAGCTAGCTTGCTGAAGGTGTCATTGAAGAATTTGAGGATATAGTTGGAATGATCCCAACTGAGGGAACAGAGATAATATCATTTCAGCGTTTCTGGAGAATGTAGCCCATTTTTTCCTTCTCCAAGACAAACTAAACCAACAGCCAGAGTGGAAAGCCAGAGATGACGTAATTGCCACCTCAGCAAAACACATACAAACACTGAAATGAGTGTGCGAATAATCTGTCACGTTCATCAAGGCTTATTATTGTGCATATGCTCTTACCTAGGATGGAATGAACCCGCACTGAGAGCTGCGTACGGAGAATCAAGATGGGCTTTTTGCCTTTTCTGTAGAAAAAAAAGAAAAAAAAAAAGAAAAGCAAACTCAATAAATTTCATTCACATAAACAACCAGTTTATGCTCATCATCAGCATTTTAGACAAGTTCTATTCACCTGAATTCTTTCACTACTTGAATAATAATACAGATGGAGCAAAGTACATTTAAAACACATTCTGAATTGGTCATTATTCCAGTTGCTGACACATACACTTTACTGAAGTTTGACTGGAGATGGAGTCAGGAAGAGTGAATATGGATCAGAAGGGATTAAGGTATGGAAAGAGAGAGTAAACAGGCATGGAAACTATGCATCAAGGGTGTTCGTGGCTAAAAATGGACTGATCCAGGTCTTACGTTTTCTGCATAATGTTCTGTGTGGTTCATACATCCAGTCACAAAGACACTTAAACAGGAACACACGCCACACACACTCCAGTTGTCTTCTACTTTCCAAGTGCTGCTGCTTCAAATGACGCGTTTCCTGTTGTCAGTTTGAGTGAACCTGAAGGAGCTCTGGCTACAATTTTGCCAGCTTACGAATACATACACACTATGTATGCTTTAAACACATGCACCCACAAATGCAAACACTGTGCACTTAGAAAAAATATGACCTCACCACCCAATTAAAAATACTTCATAATGAGAATTTATGGTATTTTTACTGAAATGGAGTCAGCTACTAGTCCTCCAACGAGTCGCTTTTTGCTACAGTTTTCATCATGTAAACATGGTCAACTACTTTTACTTTTACACTGTAGAAAAAAAGACATTGTAAAATATGGCAAGATTTTGCATCACAATACCGAATTAATATTGTTATGCAAAGAATCATTATTTTCAATTACATTAGTGACATTGTGTTGATAATAATGCTACAATATATTTGGCCTTCTCTGAAAAGTACAGTGCTATTATATCAATGCATACTCATTCTACAGGACCAAAATATCAAGTCAGTAGGAATAAAAAAAAAAGGTCCATGGCAGAAGAAAGAGAGGCAATGAGTAAGAAATTAAAAAAAAAATACTGTATCATCATCCCAACAGTTGTATCCCTTAGACTTAAGAGGTTCAGGTGAGTGACACATACACTACATCTCTTGAGTTTGAGTGCATGACAGAGCTGAACAAGATTAACAGATTTAGCAGTGGTCTCATGCCTAAGAAAAAATTAATTTGTGCTGAATTAGTTCTTGATAAAATACAATAATGATCAAAAGTTTGAGTTCAGCAAAATACAAATATTTTGTAATATTATTTATATTTAAAAATGTTATATTAATATTGCCTGTGATGTCAAAGCTGATTTTTTTTAGCATCAGGACTCCAGTCTTTAGTGTCACATGATCCTTCAGAAATCATTCTAATAGGATGATATGCTGCTCAAGAAACCTTTATTATTTAACCTTATTAGTGTCTTTACGGTCCCTTTTGATCAATTTAATGCATCGTTGCTGAATAAAAGTACTAAAAAGAATGTCTTTAATGACTGAATAAAAATGTCTTTCCAAAAAACTGATCCCAAGCTTATGAGTGGAATGGACTGTACATGCTTTTCTATTTACTTCACATTACTCTTTAGAAATACAACACTCTAGGACTGAACAAATCTGAAAAAAAAAAAAAATATATATATATATATATATATATATATCAGTACAAGTATCACAGTACCAAAGTTATGCAATACTTCATTTTGAGCTGACTCAGAGTTCTAGATCTGCGGTTTAGTGTTTTTGCTCTATTCAGTGTATTCTGAGACGGCCAGTCTAATCTGTGGTCAGCACACTCACTGCACTGCTGGCTCTGCCTGTGTGAAATCACTCATGCCTATGTGTCCAATGACAGCGTGTTACCAAGCAACGCTAGTAAATGATTTAGTGAAACTGATACCCATCATAATTAGGTAAGGTGAACATTCAGGGGGGATCACAGGCGTTCTACATAAGAGTTTGGCACGGTTTAACCCGAATAAATTAATAATAGATAAACATTAATATCAAATTAGTGCTTCTAGTCCAGCCATTGTTTGTGGTTTAGCCAATACGGACATTTCTTCAAGCATTTTTAATATGTCCAAAGTCAAACATCTTTATAAATTAGCCTGTAATTTACATATTAAAGGACTTAACATCGTTCTTCTTAAACATAAACCACACTACACTAGAGAGTTAAATAGGGCCATTTTCTTCAAGCTGTACTGTCACAGTACCAGTAGTACCATCCCACTTAAGAGTCATGGTACATCGCAAAAACTGTTAAACGGAATACACCCGTGTAGATTTGATTTCATCAGCATTTTAAGCATGATTGAGCAATGTCAGAAAAGCGTATCCTTAATGAGAAATCAAATACTTATTCAAAAGTTATGATTTTGTGGACATCAAACAGACATTTATCTGTTATCAGATGAAAATTCATGGTAAAATTAGTCTTTGTTACAAAACAAAAAACACAAAATGGGGGAATTCCTCAGCTATAGTGTCAAAGACTAAACACAAACACAGAGAGAATAGAGTTATCAGTGCATTTCCTGACTAGAACAGAATCAGCAGCGTTGTTTCAACTCCGTTCCATCCGGTCAGAGGAACAAACGGATGGATGTGTAGAGACCTACAAACATCATAGAAATGTTCTTGATTTTACCTTGTTCTGTCAGACGCACATCCTTTACAATGGCAGGATAAAATAATGTTTTACGTCTAATACTGAAATAATGTTACATGTAAAACTACAAACTGAACAATCATGTCCTTTAGCTGAGGAAAGTTGAGCATTTCACCAACACTAGAGACAAAGACCGAGCCGGGGGTAGGGAACAAGAGAAGAAAATTAATCAATGCGTCACTCTTACTCACAACTTAGAGAAGTGCACACTGCTTATTAGTAAAAAAACAATGTTTAAAGAGCCCCTATCATGGATTTTTGAAAATGACTGTTCATGTAGTGTGGAATATAGCTCTAAGGGAATGAAAACAGCCTGCAAAGATTTATATCTGAAAGTGCACCGTATATAAAGTTATTGTCTTTCAAAAGTGAGAGTCGACTCTGAGTCTATGAAATTAATTGTTTTTGAAACGAGTCATTAGCCATTTCTTAGTGACGTAGATACGAAACATTTGCATATTGGCCGCGCCCAGTTACTGCGCGCGCAGATGGAAGTGTAAACTTGAAGTGACGTCTAGAACACATTCAAATACTTCAGCTGAATCGCATCATGTCGAGAAGACGCTGTATATAATCGCTCTATATAATAAGCACTGCCCTCAAAAGCCCCCGCAATGTGAGTTTCACCGGGAAAGCTCGCTCTTGACGGAGACGCGAGTAAGGGACCATGTGGAAAGTGCACTTTTTCTGACACGTTTTTTCATACACTGTATACAATTTTCAACACTTGACAAGCTATAATCCATTAATGGTGATGGGCGTTCCTTTTCCGACAATCTCTGCCTACGGTTTACCAATAACAACTGACTGGGTCATTTGACCAATCGCCGCAGATTCGCCTCGCTCAAAGGAGGTGTTTGGGAAAATGAATCGTCGAACGAATCTTTTGGGAGTCGTTGAGCAAATCAGGTAAAAATAAATGCATATTATAAGACAAATAGATGTTTTTTATCCTTCCATGCACGTTAAACTGTTTTTGGGAACTCCCAAAACAAAAATAGGCACATTTCAAATGCTATGATAGGAGCTCTTTAATTGTTCTGAGGTACTGTAAATTAGAGGTTTAGAGAATTGGATGCAGTTGTATGAACCAAAAACTGAATTTCAATCAATCTCCTGAATCAGCTGAAGGAAAATGTAAATGAATCTTGGGAGCTAAACAATAGTCTAAAATAAACTGAATGCCACTTTCTCATGCACAAACTAAATTAGATCTGGACTAAAAGTACACTTTTGTGATGTAACTAAGTAATGTACGAGGTGGTGATTTCATATAGCAAATATGTACAATGTGATTTTTGAAAGAAAGCAAGCATGAAGGTCCACCACTAAACCAAACCGTCAGTGGGGCGTAAACAGAATACAAAATCTGGCAAATGAGACCGATTTAGCCACAAATTCACCAAAACGTAAAACAGTTACGAACAGCCATGAGTGTGTTGGCCGAAACCCATTCTCGATCTTAAGTCAAGTATCCCAAAGGGCGTGAATTTTAGCAGTTGCACCTTCACAAACAGAAAAGTTTCTAATTTATTTGATGGAGCATGTTAAGAATTAATATATAAGCTCAAAGATTAAAGATTTAAAGGTGCTCTATGCAATTTCTAGCAGCCTCTAGTGGGGATGTTTCAGAATGCAACAAGAGTGCTCGTGCTCGTGTGCGTGATCTATCTCAAGAGCGAGCATTTACTACCGGCCACACTAACCATGTATCTTTAACAATCAGCAATGTCAACATCGGTGAATGTATAATATGATAACGAAAACGGTTAGTGAACTAAACTGAACAGTTTCAGTGTATCAGTAAGATCGTAGGAAGTGACATTACTGTACTGAACGTGTCTGGAAATGTGTTTAAACAATATGATAGTTGTGGATGAGTGACGTTAGTCAGTAGATCTAGTACATAAAATAAGTTACATCCTAAAGCACCTACTTTTTGTTGTCCTGGAACATTGACATTCTCAATGTCATGTGTTTATCTTGCTCATTTCACATGAGTTTCCTATGTTGATCCGCGTTTCCGTCCGGAGTCGATCAGATTCACGTTTTGCCTGACGAGCTTGAGCAGATACAACTTTTTTTGTTTTTTATATTTATGAGTCGTTTGTGTTGGAGTCTGTGTTGTGCTGGAGACAGGACGTTTTGGGGGGTTATCAGACTCCATGTCGTCAGCTGAAGTGCTGTTGGTCGCATGGTTGACTGTAGGATAGAGAGGATAGAGCTAGGCTCGGGAGCGCGCGTGCACGTCACATCCGATGGATTTCGCAGGAAATCCGACCCGGAGACCTCACATATAAATATGAATATTGGCCTTCAGAGGTAATAGCAAAACCCAAAAAGTGGATCATTGCAATGTGTGATTACAACCCCTTCAAACACAGGCAATAAAAAAGGATTCATTTTTATAAAATAAGTTACATATGAAGAGTTCAGATGCAAAAGTCTCTAAATGCCATTTGAAATTTTCTTCTTTAATGATGATTTTTATCAAACTTGTATATTTAAGATTTCATTAATTTCACTTAAATAACAATTAATAGGTAATTATCATTGCCATTTAAGTGAAATCACTGAACTTAAATATACAAGCTTGATAAAAATGATCATTCTAGAAGAAAATTTCAAATGGCACTTAGAGGCTTTTGCATCTGAACTCTTCATATAGAACCTTTAATATCGAATCTACAAAGCCAACATACAAATGTTCTACAGGACATGACCACCAAAGATACTTGAGAATCCAATGTCATAACTCATGATTATAGTCTAATGACACCATGTAATAAAAGACAACTAAATATAGCATTAGAGAGGGCAGTGCTGAAAACATCACTTTTAAAGCTAATGCTGATAAACGCATGCATGATATAACGTCCCCCAGAGGTCAAAATTGGATTAACCATTACATTGTTGCACATCCCAACAAATAGGTAAATCAGTGTGTTGTAAGCTTTTCTTATCCACTCTCTCTTCTAAACGCTCTATCATTATGTAGCCACGTTCCCAGCGTCTCTGACTAATTTCGTCCCTCTGGCCTCACTAAGAATATCTGTGTGTGAGTAAGTAACATTCACATTATGAACGATTCTCCCAAATTTGGTTCTTGAATGTGACTAAGAACTCTGACTGACTCAAGAATGGAAATATTCCTTCACTTTTATGGAACTTTATGCTGTATTTCCTACTCATTAAAACTATAAGAAGGGTGAAAAGGAGGCAAACATGTTTGAGTCTCAGATACAGTCTAAGCCATGTCTAAAGTCTATCAGATCCAAATCAAGTCTAGGCTTAGATTTGTGACAGAAGACTAAGATTTGAGACCGAGTGAAGACTCATTTACCTTTCATTATTTTTTTGAATTTAGTTAGTTTTATAAACTCTGTTGCTGAACAATAATTTTTGTCCCAAGTATGTCCTTGATTATAATGAATTCCTCCCTGAAACAATGTATGAGAGTTTTCATTATTATTTTTGAAATGAACAATTTATTTTAGTCAGCAAGGGAGGGAATTTAGAACAAAAAAAACTTGTATTTCTTTCTGTAAATGCCACTATTGAACATTTATTTTTGTTTTCATTTCATATGTGAGTGAACACTATTTTGAGAAGATGAAGGAAACTTTTTTGAAGATGAAGGAAAGTCAGGCAAGTTAAGTCTCGGGTTATTTTTCATTTTTCTTTATGCAAGTTTCCATCTCTGGGAAAAGTCAAAGTAAGTAAGAGAGAAAAAGTAAGAGAGAAAGATGATTGGATGGCAAAATGTAAATTCATTCTTACTCCACATCTTCATAGAGCTGCTCCAGATCATCTCTCTGTTCAGCAAATGATGAATCCAGATCCAGATAGTTGCCATTAGAAGCCAGTTGCAGTGCACACTCCTCTAACTGAGAGAGAGAGAGACAGACAGAGGAACATCACTGCCTAACATAGTTTCATGACAACACATAAATAGCCTCATGCTTTTTTACTGTGCAACTGGAGGATGAGTCCTTTTCACATATTTTGATCTGACAAGATACAAACTATACCACAAGTACAAAATAAAAGTGAAAATCCAATCTCAAACATGTAAACCTGGAAACACATTCACATTTATGCGTATGAAAATGCACTCATTCACAATCAGCCATCATTATAACTCAGCTATTCTAAAAGAGAAGTTATTGTTCTCATATGGTACTGTTTGATGCAGTCACATCTGAAGCTGTGCTGTAATAATGGGTTGATTGAGGAGCTGAGCTTATCTTCTGTTTACAGGTCCCACCCTTTCCGCATCAACTCACTTTCCAGCTGCAGGCATTTCTGGAGCTCAAGCACTGGAGACTCTCTCAAAGAGTTACTTACATTCACTAATATATAATCATTATGTGTTCTAATATCTAAGTGGATGAATTTTTTACAATAAGCCTTCCCATTAATGCCATCATCATCTTCATTAATGCCGATTTGTGAATGAGCATGAATATGAGAGGTGGAATTTACCAATCATGACTGATCATATCCAATCACATCGCAATGGAGGCATTGCCTCCTCTTACGTCACTCACTTTCCCCCATTCATCTCAATTACCCCCCACTAAACCCACCGCACGCTCGCTCAATGGGCTCAGGGTAAGCAAGCAAGATGTGGTGTCCCGCTCTAACTTTACCAGCGAGTGTCACTGTTAGACAGTGTTACTTTAGAAAAACAAGTGACTTTTACTCTTTTTAATGTCACAGTCTGTAATATTTGTGTTGTTTCCCTGCTGAAAAATCCAGCCTAAGATGGTCAGGCTGGTTTTGGCTGGTCTCTTTTGAGCACTATTGGTCTCCCAGCCTGGTCATAGTTGGTTTATCAGGCTGGTTTTAGAGGGGTTTTGAACGCTTTTTTAGCTGGTCAGGCTGGTCTTGTCTGGTTTTAGCTGGCCTAAAAGTTTTATAAGGCAGTATCTTGAATATGGCAAGTGAATGAGGAGTCATCTGACCTAGAAATGTCCATAGATGAGGCCATTGACAATTGAATTACCATGAAACATTGTACTATATGGGCATAATCCATAAACACGTTGTAATCCTTTGCATTCTATTTTCAAATAGCCTAACATTACTTTGATTTTCACGAATGTAACAAAATAAACTAACTTCAAACCTAGCTTTTAACAGTCACATTTTAAATTATGATAACAGTAAAAGAAACAAACCTCCATGTAAATTAACATATAAGTAAAACTATTTATTTTGACTCCTAATGTTGACAAACAACATGTTTCGTCAAAAGCACTCAGATGTGTGTGCACTCCGACACCCTCCCACTATTAACGTTACACCATAAACTCTCACACAGTATGCTACCAGGAGGTTGATCTATGGACTATTAATTCATATAATGAACCGAGCCATTTTCAAATGATTATGACTACAAACATTAACCCCATTACATTAGATTGGCGTTAACTTAAGTTACATAGAGCGTTGATGCCTAAAACAGTCAACTTTACACGCTGACACTTATCAGGCATTCGGCGCAGGTAAGCAGCAGCACCCCTTTATGAGGCAAATGAGATTCACTGACCTTCAAAGGTGCTTCGAGCAGCTTGTGAACACCGGCGATCAGTTCGTTCAACGGCAAATGCTCGTTCAAGTCATACTGCGGAGGTCTGCGGGGCTCGGGGAAATTTGTGCACACAAATGGGTCTGAATCCTCCAGATATTGCACTCGACACGTTATTGTAGCCATGGTTCATCCGTGGTCACAAAGTCTACAAGTTAAACTCGCTTTTCACCGCAGATTTCAGTTTGTGTTTTGAGAAAAGCGACTGACCCTACACGCTCCACTGTCAATACTGAAGTGAAACTCGGGCTGTAGTCAAATTAAAGAGCAGAGCAGTGACGTCATCAGGAAACAGGCCGAATGAACTTCAATGTTTACGTTAGGTCGGAGCGACATAGTCCTCTACTATTTATGTCATAGAAATGAAATATATGGTAAAAGTATTACGAGTAGTGTGCAGTTCTTAATAAAATACTTATATTATTTATTATGTCACTTTTACACAATTACAGAATCAATTATATATATATATATATATATATATATATATATATATATATATATAAAGAAACTCAATAGCACGTTATAGGGTATGATCTTCTTGACAACCTCACATGTTGATTTATGAAAAAAAAAAGTATTCACTGTGAGCGTACAGATTTGAAAAACTATGTGTTATGGCTCCATCTGCTGGTCAGATAAAGTTGTATTTGTGATGAGTCTGTTTGTTGAGTTCAAATTTCACTCAAACCAAATGACTCATCACCAGCCAAACGATAATCACTTAATTCCTTCCCTTGAAACAATCAGCGCTTTATAAACACCATTTTCCCATATCCATGCATGTATGTTTCTCAAAAATGGCACCCAATGGCAATATAAAATGAAAAAAGGAGCAGGACTATGTGTTACATGATTCTCATAAATTTCAATAGATTTTTTAGGTTTTAATGACCAAGGTCATTTGTGCGTTTATCAGTCAACATAGCCTGCAAGTCCCGACGTTACAACACAATTCAGCAGCACTTGAGACAAAAATGTTTTTGGGAAACTCACCCTGGTTAGGGTTCATAGACAACCTTGATTAAAGGTACAATATGTATGATTTTCGCAGTAAAATATCCCAAAACCTCTAGGCCAAAGTTATATATTTTGTTTAGTAGATTATTAACAATATCCCAAAATGTTTTTTAAATCGTGAGAAAATTTCAATTTTAAGCAAAGAAACGGGGCATGTGAGCAAGGGTGAGGAGTCAACAGAAAGGAGTAAAAGTGAGGAGTAAAAGAAATGGACACTGCGACCCTATTGATTTCAACAGAGAAAACTGAAGCCAGATTATTGCACTTCCTGCCTGATGTCTGAGCGACTGCGCAGGCTCAAACTGAGCTTGACGACAGTCTGACAGTTGTACATATTCTAGTAGCTGTGCCAAGACAAATCTGAATCACCTAATTCCTCAAAAACGTTGAAATATTTTTTTTCTTGTTGCTTTTGGACTCTTTGCCACCTTCAGCCATCCGTGCGAACTACGCTATCCGGCGACGTATCCTTTCTTGCAAAACTTACTGTCTAAAAGAACAGCGAGCGTCTTTTTCAAGATGCCTCACACTTCCTGTGGCTTGTTCAGAGCCCCGCTCAGCGACGGACCGCCATGTGATCTGCGCTCTCTGCCTGGGCCAGGAACACGCAGCTCTCGCCCTCTCGCAAATGGTTCTGTGCTCTGTGACACACTTCCGATGTCCGTCTTTAATGTCTCTAATTCGTCAAATAAACTAACCTGTGTGAGTATTAATTCAGCACTTGCAGGTAGTTCGGTAGAACTAAATGTCTTTATTCCTTTATATCCGCGGGACTCGCGTTGCGTGTGGCGCTGGTATACGTCTCATTTGCAATCACACCCTGCTTCAAACACAGTCATGTTAAAAACAAAGTATTCACTCATCCATAAAAGATCCATTAGCTTGACGACAAGATCGATAATTCAGCTTAATGCTTTGTGTCATCAATTTACGCCGTTGCTATATTAAGAGGTTAGCGACCCCGGGTGGTGAAAAATCCTACATATTGTACCTTTAAATACTTTTTTTTTTTTTTTACACAAGCCAACCAGAGCCCGTATTCATAAAGATTCTAAGAATCCTCTCTGAAAACTCAGCTTGAAAACTTTAGCTTAAAAAATTTTTACGTAGGAGTCTTAGCTTAAGAGCGATTCGGGACTGATCTGAGAGAAACTCTGAGTAAGGAAAAGATAAAAACTTTCATCTTAGTGAGTAGACGGGGTTGACCCCGTTGCTATATATGACACACTCTTTTGAAGACTGTGATTGGTTGGTTGTCCAAGAAGGGAAAAAAAATGAGCAATTTTAAGTATAGAGTTTACTCACACATACACACACACAGACACACACATTATATACATTCTATAAATCCTTTTTTTTGTACCATGCTGTTAATTTCCTATAAGGTATTTGATTGGCTTAGAATGATAAAAATTGTTCCACTCTTTCCAGTTACACTGATTGCTGTCTATTTAAGTGGTGGTTTGAATGTTGGTTTTAATATAGCAAACAATAAATAAAAAAACGAGGAAGATGAGAAAGCCCAACTGGACAGAAGAACAGTGTTTACTGTTAGTCCAGTTAATGGATGAACACTAGACCACACTAATAGCATCTTATTAACTCACTGTCATCTATTGCAACACATTTCTTCTCCCTCTCTGTATTTTCTCCTCTGCTAAAGAAACTCTTAAGCCTCTTAAAAGTCCACATCCGTACTCCTAACAATTTTGACCTTAAGACCTCTTTTAAGGGTTAAGATTCTTTCTGAATTACTTTTTTGTTTACTAGGATTTTTTCTTTAATTTTAAGAGTAAATGCCTACATTTCTAATAATTTTCTTAGAATTTTGTCACTAGGAGCTACTTTTTGCATTAAGATTCTTTATGAATATGGGCCCAGGCCTTTTAGATTGCCTGGAACAGTTTTAGATATATAGTAACTTAATCTACAGACAGAACAGAATATTTGCAATACTTTACAAAATGTTTATTGGTTTTTAAAACCACTTTTTAAAAAAAATTCAACATCAGTAAGCACTTTTAATACAAAAGAATGAAGAAAATCTTGCAAAAATGTCTTAAATTTATCAAACTACCATAAAGAGTCTGTACATAAACAATAACAACATAGGGAATAGCAAAGGTAAGAAAGAAAGACACAGGAAACGTAAGTTTTACCAGGTCAGTGAATAATACAGTCACAATTCTGGCCTGCCTCTTCATTAAAGTAGAAATAGTAGTGCTTGTTCAAAAACAAATGTTCACATACATACTTTAAGTGGAAGGAAATAGTACATGAAGACTTAAAATAAATGTAAAAAACATTGTCTGAGTTATTTCAAAACAATTAAACAAGTGAAATTTCTTCTGTTGAACAGAAATTCTTGTTACTTTAAAGAGTCTATGTACAGTGATTCTCAACAAATGCATAATGATAATGCAATGAACATTTGATTATTAAACGTTCAAATTAGTTAATTAAACATTTTAATTGCTTTCACTTATTTACATCTAAGTACTTCTTCACCAAGATCCTCATAGGACTTTTTTCCAAAAAGTAGTTCTTCAAAACAGTCTACTGAGGCTTCATGTATTGCACTGATATTCTCAAAGAAGCTCATTGAAGAAATTAGTGCAATAAAAGGAACCACTAGAACTTCCAGTTGTTACATTTCCAGTGTTAATCCCTAAAGAAAAAAGATATGCAATCTCATAATATAAAATCACAATACATATTTTAAAGTCCATGCTATATTCACACACAAAAGCACTCTTCTGCAAAATGCAATAAAAAAAACTGAAAAACCAATTAATAATAAATAGAAAACAATGCTTAAATTAAAACACACATCTATATCTATACAGAGATGTCTAGTTGTGTAAAATATTAATTGTAACAAAAACAAAACAAAAAAACTGTCAAGGACCATTGATCACTATTATCAATATGAGTGTTAGTCAAACTGGTAATACATTGTTAATTTTTTTTTTTTTTCGCTTTTATAAATGGAGCTTATTTACAGTGCATCACAAACAGAAGTTCAATAGTCCACTTTCTTCATCCCATAAGAATCGTCCTGCTACAAATACCAGAAGTATGAAGTCTGACATGATCAGTAGATAAAATTCAAGTGCTACAGTCTTATGCAAATGCCACTATGCATTCACATAACAAATTAACTTTTCAACCCCACAATCTTGGCCCCATTTCAACCTGGATGATATTTCCACAAATTCATTTTAAAACATGCACCTTAAAAGCTGGGGTAATGATTCAATTTGAAAGTGGCGATTACTTCAACATTTACTCCGTAACTCCAAAACTTGTCTTTGGTAAGGACGTAAGGCTAAGATGGACTTTAACTACCACACTCAGAAACAAAGTGTATGCGCTGATATTCTGAAAGCAGTCAACTAATCGAGTGCGTCAGTACCAGCATGGTACGGTAATGGCCATTTGAATGAAATGTCTTCATTCCAGCTTTAAAATTAGCACCGAGTTCGTTTATTAGTATTTATTAGAAGTTTATTGATCTGGGTAATTTCAGTTTCCTGATGTTTTTACAGCTGGTACGATCTTTTGATTAAGGGGTAAAGGCTCTTTAATAGTGCATGTTATAAATAAGTTCCTGAATGAAGAGCTCAAATAGAAAACAGTCATTGAAAATGCCAAAACGAGGCATGTGCATGAGAGCATATATACGTCAATGAATATCATTTATGCAAACTGCTAAATGACATCAATTGGGGGGGGGGGGGGGGGGGGGGATTAATATGTGGCTTATCATCTTTTTGTTAGCCTCATTAATGCATAGTTGACAATAAAAACACATTTGAGATAGTTTTGAAAACTGTCCTAATTTATATATATATATATAATCCACTTTGGCATTTTGGTTTCACCAGTTACTATTAACCCTCCCCCATTTTTCCTTCTAATTCTTTCATTTAAAATGAGACCTAATCTCAGTCATATTCAAATTGCAAATACAATATAAAGGTGCCGGCTAGTGCAATAACCAGTGCCATTATTATTCAACGATTGTGTATAAAAAAATTAAAAAATAAAAATCACAGCCTGTTCTGTGGGATAAAATCTGAATGATCTCTTTAAATCTAGAGACTGGGGGAAACCTGAGATGCAGCTCAGGACAGCATATTGAAAAAAAAGGCTTTCATAGATTTCAATTTAGTTAAATATTAACATATACCTGTTTAACATTAAATAGCA